GCAGTCTGACCGTGGGTAAAGCTTCTTCAGCCCTTGATATTTTATGATTGTATTCTAAGGAAGTGGCCTGAGGCTGCCTGCGCAATTGTTTTTTTTGGAGCAGGTCATGCACATTCAGTTTTAGGGCATAAAAGTCCCTGCAGAGAGGGAACAAAGTTGAAGCAGAACCTGCCTGGAGCCTGTCCAGGCGTTGGCTGGTGCACACAGGCAGCAAAAACAGGCTGAGCACAGAGCCAGTGCAGGGAGGTGCTGTGAGAGCCCCTCTGAATGTCTGAGCTTATTCCACTGTCTTGGTCTTCTGCATAATACAGCAAGGAGGAGACTAAGAGAAATTAAAGTTCACCTCTGTCAATCCTTCTTTCTTTACCTGGTCCATATATTATAGCAGCAGCAGTTAAAATATCTGATTTAAAATGTGCTAGCATGATCAGTAACACTAATAAATAAAAAAAGAGGTTGGGAAAAAACTTTAAAACTTACAAGAGCAAGAGCTTGTTCTTTGTGTCAGAGTTCCTCAGAAACCTTGCCATGTGCCTCAGTTATGCAACTGACTTGTTAACTCTAAATTTGAAATGTCGTTTCACACGAAGATTAATTTCTAAAAATCAACAACTAAAAGTTCATGTTAGGGAATTCTAATCCTTCTATGTATTTACTTGCTCTCCCAGTATGCTAGTTTTAGTATATGCTTTGTACTATTTTGACTGATCTGATCTAAATTTCCTGTTAGCTGCATGCTTAACGCTTGTCCAAGTCAATAATGTTTTCAGGAAGAAAATCCCTCTGAAAAGTATTTCACAGTTAAAATAAACATTCTTTAAACAGGTAACTAACTTGGGCAGACCACTGAAAACATTTGGCACTGCTTCCTTGGACATCCAGTGGCCCAAAGAAATTAGTAATGGCAAATGGCTGCTTTATTTGATGAAAATAGACTCCAAAGGCTTGGAAAAGGTCTACTGTCAACCTGAGAGTGAAATCAACAGTTTGCATGTTGCGGTATGTTACAGTCTTCTGCTGGTGAATTGGTACAACATGAAAGCACCCCACAGCAAATGAGAGTAAGGCGTGAGAGCTTGCCTCTAGGAGTTACTGTTTATCTTGAGCAGCTCACAAGCACAATCTGTGACCTGTGTATCAGTGAATAAGCCTATCAGGAGACCTCCTAACAGCCAATGAGGCTGATATGCTAAAGGGTAGATGCTATGTCACAATGACTGTTTTTGCAATGGGCACTGCTGTCATAGGCTCTTACACAGGATGAAACTGCTGACTGTTCTAACAAATTTTATCAGTATTATTGAAAACTGCTCAGTAATAAAAACATCTGAGTTCTTACTCAAAAAAACAAGAAATAACTAAATATTTTCCCAGCCTAGGGGCATTCCATGTTCTTTTTTGAAGACAAGGGGTTTGAACTTTAAATTTATTTATTTACAACAAATATAATAAAAAGCAATTTTCATAGCCCTGGATTGTTCCTATCTAGCAAAATCTTCTTCCTAAAACTTAAGCGTCGTTTTTTTAATTCTTCATATAACCTTGAGATTATACGGGAGGAGTTTTTATTTTCCAGCATTAAAACTGCATGCACATAAACCTGTTTTCTGTTTTTGTCAGATCATTGTATTAGTTAATATAACTTGCAGTGAGTGTAATTAATATACAGTTTAAAAAACTGGCACATTCTTACTGTTTTAGCAGAGTATTGTTAATACCCTTTATCAAGAAATAAAAATGGAAATAGCATTGAAAGCTTTATAAAGCTAAAAACTCCCCTTGCCCTATTAGTCTGTTGGCCTTTCTTTCAGTAATCTGAAGTTTTATTCTTACCAGTAAATGTAGATAAGTAGACTGACAGAATGCTGTCAGTCATATTCTGATTTTGGAAGAAAACACTAAGCTCTAGTTTCTCTGCTTGATTGAATTAATAGATTCTTACGATAAACTGCTTTCTAGTTTTTTACTTTTTTTCCCTTGTAGGAATCCCATAACTCAAGAAGGAAGCGTGAAGTTGCAGAGAAACAAATTACAGACAGCCAGGCATTTTCTTTATTCTCAGAAAGAAAATATAAAACCTTGGTAAGGATATTGCAACAGCTGTATTTTTGTCAGATACCTCCCTCAGCACTCGAAAGAGGGCTCTTCCGACTTTGGCAGAGTGAAAGAAATTCTCTTTCCCTTTTTATCTTGCATCCAAATATTGATGCTTTTAAAATTTGAGCATTTAGATTATCTGCTCTGAGGAAGAACTAGGAAAGAATTATCTGCATAGTTACTTACCTTAAAATAATCAAGTAATAACATCTTCATTGTATTTTCCCTTTGCTGTTAGTACAGACAGATGATGGTCTTGCATATAGGTATGATGCATATAATCCAATATTTAATCTTGGGATGAGGTTTAAACAATCTGTGAAGATGTGATCTTATTTACATGTAGAAACCTGTAATTGCAGAGCTGTAATGTGAATGCACGCTGTGTGGATATAAAGTGTCCCCTGAAGGGTTTCGACAGCAAAGCATCTATTGTGCTGCGTTCCAGGCTGTGGAACAGCACCTTCTTAGAGGTAAGTCCTCTTACCTGCCCTTCTTAAAAGCTCAGTTCTTCCCTGTTCTGTGTCTAATATTCATGTTTTATTTTGGAACAGGAATACTCCAAAATGAATTACCTTGACATTCTTGTTAGGGCTTCTATCAGTGTTCCTGCTGCAGCTAAGAATGTTAAACTCACAAATGAAGTTGCTCAGGTAGGTTCGTAATATGCTAACCACATATTATGGTTATGGTTGTTCTACCTGATCTCCAAAGACCAGGAATGAAACAGATTTAAAACAAAACTAGCTAAAAGTTTAACTTTTTAACTGAGTTTTGAATTATTGATAATTTTTACCTTTTAATGGAGTTTAAAAAATTCATTACCATATCCAAATGATACCAGTGGGACCTTCAAAAGCATTTGGTAGAAGACATCTTGTTAGAGGAGAGGTAAGACTATATAAATTGCAGCTTTCTAATTTAACATGTACCTTCTAAAATACTCCTTCCACCTGCACGTTTTCTGTCCCGTAGGTGCGTGTTACTGTATTTCCTGCAAAACCAGTAGCCCTTTATACGGGAGTTCCGTGGTGGATCATTGCAGTGGCTATCCTTGCTGGAATACTCATGCTTGCACTGTTGGTATTCTTACTATGGAAGGTGAGCTTTTATTATTCTGGTTATTTTTTATTTTCTGTTCTGTAAATGACAAGATAGCAAACTAATGAAGTATTTGGAACTCAAAATAGGGCAAAATTGCACAAATCATACATTATCAGTTTCTCAGTTTTGCAACACTTGGAATGAAAATGGTTGTACGGGCAGACTTGTCACATAATATTTCTATTTTCACATCCTCAAAAAGAAGTATTTTGAGCTCCAGATGAAACTTGAGACAAATGTTCAGAGGCCATAGTTTGATACAGATGGATAGAACCATTGGGAGCCTCTACAGTTAGGGGTAAAACTTTATGTGAGCCATTTACAAATTCTTTAGTAGGGCACTGTTCTCATAACATCAGAAAGACCATTAAATTGATAGTAGATGAAAATAACCAAAAGCACAGTATTACTACATAGCCAAGTGTGCTGGTGAATTTCTTACTATTGTTTTTTTAAACCTTGACTAAATAAAGAGGTAGAACAAATGGTTAACTATTTGCAAAAGAAAAAAAATCAAGTATCTTTTTTCTAATGACAGTTGTAAAAGTGCCAATTATTTGTGGTCCCAAGTATAACAGAGCAATCCTTTTATTCTTAGTTTTTATAGGTGTAGGCAGTTAATATTTGCTGTTATGGGATAGCAGAAGGTCATTAAGGAAAAGGAGGTGAAGAATATCCTGACACTTTTTTTTTTTCAGTGAAATTGCAGCAGTTAGCTTTGAGGAGTTACTTGCTGCAAGTTACTTCCCTTTGGACAGTTCTGATTTCCTTATTTTCTAAAAAATGCCCAGCTGCTCCTTTAAATACTCCTGATGAATGAATACTGGGTGGGCTTTTAGGTACTAACTACTAGTGGTTTACTGTGCATGAAAATAACGAACATTTTTGACAAGTACACACAGTGAAAAATGCTGTTTTTGATGACACAGACTGTGCTGTTCTATGAAGGACAAACACCGTACTGGAAAGACAGATACTGGTTTAAGACAAAAACTTGTATTGAATGGGTCAGACTGGTTTTGTTCTACACCCTGCAGTTTTGTCTGTCCTGTGCACTAGTCCACAAACAGGTTTCTGTATGGGTGGGCTTCTTTCTGCTCTTCACAGCCACCTTGACTTGCTCTGTACATACTTTATTGTAGCTTTTCTTAAAAAAACCCAGATTCTCTACAAATTTGTCAAAATGCCTCTGAAATTATATTCTCAGGTTACTCTGTTAATAACTCGGGTTATTTTATTCTGTTATTGTATAGACCAAGCTAGCCCAAGAAGTTCACATCTAGAAACAGCCGAGTTCTTGTGATGACTTTTTTCTTCTTGTTTCTTTGGCGTGTGAAGGGATAATGGGAAGACAGGTGACAGACTTAAGTCAGTTTTAATAGGTTTGACTTCTTCCAGTCCACAAAAAAATGACTAAATACCTTGCTTCCTTGTAGTGTGGTTTCTTCAAGAGAAATAAGAAAGATCATTACGATGCCACATATCACAAGGCTGAGATCCATGCTCAGCCATCTGATAAAGAGAGACTTACTTCTGATGCATAGTACTGATCTACTTCTGTAATTGGTAACTGATGATATTTTTTAATTGCTAGCTGTGGCACATGCTATGGTTGCAGTGGCTAACTGTGAAGCTTTTTCTGCATAAGTTCTATTAACTTTTGGATTTCAAGCTATCATACTTGCTTGCTCCTTTTGTTGATAGATTTCCAGCTTCTGGTGCATGTGAACACACAGAGGTTTATGCTGGTCTAAAATGCTTCTTATTTATTTTTTAAAAAACATGGTGAGCTGTTGCAGTAGGCTTCAGTATTTTTTTTTAATTTATGCTTTAACATTACAAATAAGTCTTTAAGCTTGCAAGATCGGAATCAACACTGTACAGTAAAGATGCAAAGATAAAACTACAGCAACAAAACATAAATTTGCTTTACTAACCTTTAGTGCATGCTGTACATGTTGCTTACATTGGAGAAGGGTTTTCATAACAAGTATTTATTGCAGGTCTCACATCTGTTTTAATTGAGTTCTAAGATGTACTTCTCTAGGAACACACTTTGCTGAAGTTACAAGATGCATGATGATTTATGCTTCCAGCAACCTTTATTCCACTTAAGATATTACATGCATGTACATTGTATCCATAAGTGTACTTGGGATGAGGGAGTGGGGAGGAATTCTTCATGAATTATTTCAAAACAGTGTTTAATGAAACTAGGAGATGGCCAATGAATTGGTCTTCACTCACTGTAATTTTTAAAAATTCTATCTTAAGTTCTAATATTAAAAACCCCCCAAACCATGGACCAAACAGAACCAAAAAATCCAGCACCCTAAATACTATGAAAAAAGCTTGCTCGCTTTAACATGTTCTTACCCCCAGCAGTATCTAATGACAGCTGGATAGCACAAGGTCTCTGAACCTGAATATTGATCCATAAGGATGGTCAATGATCCGTAAGGATGTAAAGCTGAGTGTGTACAAGTCATTATCTTTGTATATTGTGGCCATAGCTCCCTTTTGTTTTGGAAATCAGTTTTAGTCCATGCCTTGATATTCAAAATCAGTTTTTACAGTGGCTTTGAATAAAAAAACTGCAAAGCACAAATAAGCTGTTACAGGTTTCATCCAGGGCAACTTCCCATGGCAAGCAAGACTCATGTTTCTAAGACAGTGTATGTGTAGTTAGTTCAGGTGACTGAAGTGGAAATGGTGCTTTGAAAACCAAGACCCTTGGGGTAACTTTTTTTTGAATGCTCTGGAAATCTTTCTGTAGGTTCTTAAGGGTAAATCATGTCATCATACAGGAAGACACTGAAGTTCATACCTACCTTTGATTCAGGAGAAGCACTTTCCTGTGCGTAGCAATAAATGTCCTCATTAGATGAATGAACAATATTGGAGGGAATCTTTTTAAGGTACTTCATTACCATGGATAGTCGGAGCATGCTCTTTAACTGCTGCTGAACAGCTAATTCAGGCCTCTTGGCTCACATTTTTACAGCTAAATATGCTACATTTTTGGCCTACGTATGTCTGTTTTCAGTTTTCCTACCCGTATATTTGTGTGAAGAAAGAATTTACTGCCTCTACAGTTGTAGTACTTTGGTAGCAACTTACACCTGAACTGTTCTTTTCTGTCTCTGCACAGTGCGGGTTCTTCCGGCGTTCCAGGTACGAAGACAGTGTTCCCCGCTATCACGCTGTAAGAATTCGAAAAGAGGAGCGACAGATCAAAGATGGGAAAAGCCAAGACCTTGAGACAAAACAGTGGTTCACCAAATGGAATGAAAATGAAAGTTATTCTTAGGCAAAAACGTTGTTTATCCACAAAGTTCAGATAGAGTTAGGTAAGGTTTTCATTCATGGAATCCTGATGAACTTAGACCTGTGAACACTATGGACATTCACTATTTGATTGTAGATATTACTACTTATATTGAGGCTTTTATTTGCACAGTTAAAGTGGCTTCAACAGACTTCATTTGCCTTATTTAATTTCCCCACTGCCTCTTCATCCCCTTTAAATCTAACCCACACTACAGATAATATGTTGATGTGGGTCTTTTCTGCAAAATTAGCAAAACCACTACAGCAGACCTTTTGATCCTCCTGTGATCCTGACTTTCTTCCTTGTTATTTAAGGCACGCTTGATTAAGGTCAAGATGAGTTCTCCACTGTTCCCTCAATGCACAGTGCATTATAAACACACAGTGGCCTTAGCATACTTTGTTCAAGTATAACTGAAGACCTGCAAGTCTGCTTTAGTCATAACCTTTGCCTGCTGCAGTAGTTAGGGCTTAACAAAAAGCATCATTTAAATTACATGTGCAATGGGTCATGTTGCTTGATTTTGGGTTCTTTTTTTTTTAAGATCAGATTGTGTGATTCTTGCTCACAACAAATATACACAGGTTTTTTTTTTTTAAGAGAGGCTTGAATATTAGATGTACTTTGTGTATATATATATATTAGTCATTTTTATATTTATTTTTATTATAAATCATTGTCTTTGACTAACTGGTAGGCTGAAGACTACTGAATTTTTAAATCCACTGTTCTGGTTTTTGTGTGTTTCTGTTTGAACTTCAAATAATGAGACCTGAGGCTTTCACTGCATTTTAATAAATCACTGAAGGTGCCAATGCTTTCTAAAATGTAAATATTTATGCAAATGATGTCTATGGGTGCTTTCTTTTCCTGATACTTGTAACATGATTTGTATATTACTGTGGACTGTTTAACAATTTGGACACCAAAGTGAAGTAGTGTTTTAGATATCATTTTATACTCACAGCAAGAAAGTGAAAAGTCCTTTGGAAACCTCATTCCAGCTTCATCAGGACTTCCTGGTTGGCAAAAGGCCTTGACTACTGTAGCTGTTGTATAGCACTTGGAGGCTATAGATGCCTTATTTACCTTAACTGTCAGGATGTGAGCTGATCACGTTGAGACTACTGAATCATCTTCAATACCTGAATATTGATAGAAGTAGAACCATGATATTAGCAGTCTGGTTATGGTAACTAACTGAGAGAATGGTTTAAAGAGTTTACTTTTTTACCCATATTCTAAAACCTTGGTACTATTTAAGAACAAAGATTTAGCTCACAGTTATGTATTCCATGTGAAACAAAATTCTGCTCAGAAAGTATGCATGTTTAATTGCTTCTACTATGAACTATGCAAAAACCTCTTGGTATTTTTTCCCCTCATAGGGTAAAAACCTGCTAGGAGGGCAGTTGTCAAATATCTTATTTTTACTGCTAATTTTGAATGTACCTTCTTGGAAGGTGTGGTCACCTAAAAAGTTACCTTTTAGTGTTAACTAAGATGAGTTTATTAAACTAGATAATCTCAGTATGTTATGACCCTGACTTTATGAATGCTTACATATTAATTCAGACGTTACCCAAGTTTTTAGCTGTTAGAATCCTAGTTTATTTGCTTAAAGGCTCAGCAGTATCAAAAGCCAGGCTTGTCAGGGGCTAAGAAGCTTGAGAAATACCCCTGAGTATAAAATCAGGTTGTGGCCCTCATCTAAGAACATGAATGTCTTAGCAGTGTTAAAGTTCTTGAAAAATAAGTCACGTCATTGATATATATTTTTATCTCAAACTTTTGTTATACCAGCTAAGAATGCTACATCATTCCATGATTAGAAATTACCTGTGGATATTTGTATAGAAGTGTGAAATAAATTTTTTTAAATTAAAGATGGTCTTGGTAATAGTGATTTTATCATACTTAACTGAGGTGGCCACAGTTCCCTAGAAAAACAGGCTCGAAGTGGCAGGCTTTGACAAGTTCTCCCTCAGCATTGGTGTAGCTCTTGCTGCCCTGCTCCATGCAGAGGGCAGATAAGGAGCAGCAGGAGATAAGGCACAATCTCAGGCTCGCAGGCTCTCTGCTGCTTGCTGCCCGTGCCAGCACTGGTAGGAGTCAGAGCACCACGTGCCAGCTCCCACTGGGACACGGCCCCCCCTCTCCTCGCTCCATGCTTGGCACTCGTGCTGCCCTGGAGCCCTTTCATGGAAACAACCTCCTAAAAAGCTTCCTAAATAGTGCCAGATGAGTATTTGAGTAAGTAGTGGAGATGGATACATGCCCCAAAATCGGTCAAGAACTTTGCACACCTATTTGTATTTAGCAGTGGAGATTTGATATAACACAACTGCAGGGTAGTTTCAAGTCCACCAAAAAAGCCCTGTGGAAAAGCCAAAATTATACAGGGAAAAAATCCCACGAAACCCAACAGACAAAATGTGGTTCCACCTCTTTAAGATGTCAGCCCTCACTGGATGCTGAAAGGCCTTTTGATGCAAACAAAGCCCAAAGAAAAAGCTGGATATATGCTAGGCCACTCTTTGTAGTTGAGGCCAAGAAGCTTCCAGAACTAGACCCAGAAAATGCCACTAGACTCTTGAGAGCATCTCAAAGATAAGAACTCAACCTGCTCTTATTAAGAAATTACTCTCCTTTACATGATGGCCACAAAGATTTGTCTACAAGAAGACAAAATATCAACTGGCAGAACAGTTAAACAGCTGATTATATGAAGCTTTTGAACAAATCTAATGTATTTGGCTTTAGGTGTGTGCTCATATACACCATACACATAGTAGTACTAGATGTAGTCTATACAATATACACAGTGGTACAGCACTCTAATAGTGTATGTGTATAAAATGCACATGTACATGTATGCACATGTGTGATATATAAAACTTGCTGTTCACTATATATAGTGTGTGTTTTATATCTGTACAAAAATATACACTCTATATTGTCCAAGGTACAGAAACAGAATGTTGGTAAACTGCAATACTTTCCCATACATTTAACTGCTGCAGCACAGAAGACACCTTATGAGAGAATATACCTTTCAATTTAAGGGACCACCACAGCTCAATTCCAGTAGCCACCTATACATAAAAGTTATATGTAGAAAAAGAGAGGCAACAGGGTGCTCAGTTGGACACAAATCAAGAATCAGCACATGAGGTAAAAGGAAACTTCTGAAAGGGGCACTGAACCACCAGCACCCTTGTTGCAATGCTGATCATCATGGCTGCAGTGTGTCCAAACTCCACAGAGAGCTGCTCATGTTCAACAGCTGCAGTAACTTCTGCCAGCACAGAGAAAGTGTGGTGTCAGCAGCTGGTTTGCAGAGGCCAGGAGACCAAGCTGTGAGACCAAAACAACCAGGCAGTGCTCTGAGCAAGCAGCAGCCTGTGGATGTGCTTGGACGTGCTTCAGCTGCCTCACCAGACAGCACGGCTGTGCGGCACAAGACGAGTGTGAGTTGCTTCCCTACAGGGATTGTGTAACCAGTTGCTTTAGTTTTTTATCCCAGTCCTCAGGTACCTTTCAATGTCTATCTTTCCAGGCCTCAGAGTCATTATTCATACTACAAACCTTTTACAGGCTTATAAACCTTGCTGAGTCCTAACCTTGTGAACTTTGTAAAAACACTGCAAAACTCCTATCCCAAAAGATGGCTGCTGCAACAGGCCTTAAACCCCAGCCAAAGTGTGACATGGTAACTATGAAGGGGTTGGGGACCTACAGTTTGCATTTTTCATACTGCAAGAAAGACCCCTTTCTTCCTTTTCTAGCACTACAAAATGTTTGTTTGCAAGCAGCACCTTTTCAGGGCCGTACCTGCTTCAAATATCCCAGAAAACACAGAGAAGAGATTTTTGCAAGAGGACGTGTCCTTGCTGCTGCAGACCAAGATAAATCCCCCTCATCACTGATACACAATGGTAACTATGCATTCTATCCCTCAATCCCAGTGTTTTAGGGGAATAGGGAAGGAAGGGACAGAGGAGTTAAATACTTTTGCTAGGAACCTAGGAAATAATGCAACTGATAAGTGGATTAAAAGAAATGTTTGCAGGATACTGATTGGTTTCTTGAAGTGGAGGGGTCCAACAGAGTACCCCAGTACAGAGCCAAGAAGTGCATTACTGCCAGCCTGCTTACAAGGTACTGACCAATTCCAGCTTAGCAAGGAGGAACAACATGAAAACAGCCATTGTGGACCTGACACATATCCACCTGGATCAGCAGTCCCCCTCTAACAGCTGCTAAGAGTTGTCCACAAAATACTTTGCTGTACCTGTTCCTCAAAAATGCTAATGCTTAATTTCAGTAACTGTATAGCATATTTTTCCTGCTTCTAAAAGCCATCCATAGAATCCTAAGAGTATCTCACACTGGAAGAACCCCATAAGGATCAAAGCTCCTCACAAAAAAGAGATCAAAGCCACACAAACCAATGTAACCCTAAGAATTTGTCTGACAGAAACCTAAGAATGAAGGCAAACCTAAGAACAAACAATTTTAAGTACACAAACTGGCTAGATGGGCCAGGTGACTGTGCAGCCATTGCAGCCAAGTGCATAAACCACTGAAAGAAAACAGGGAAGGGGAAAGGGAAGGGGAAAGGGAAGGGGAAAGGGAAGGGGAAAGGGAAGGGGAAAGGGAAGGGGAAAGGGAAGGGGAAAGGGAAGGGGAAAAGGAAGGGGAAAAGGAAGGGGAAAGGGAAAGGGAAGGGGAAAGGTATTCTAAGGATACTCATACCTGGCAACTTAAGCTTTTTTCTTAATCTGAGGACCTTAAAGAAAAGGAAAAAACCACTAGTACATGCTGCACCCAAGAATTGATGATTTCCAGTAACAACAAACAAGAAACTTTTTCTATGTAACACACTGCAATATTAGAACTTAAAAAATAAATTAAATTGAAATTCAACTATTTCCAGTTATTTTGAGGTCTGAATTGTTCTGTCTCATTTAAATTATTGATCTGGATGCATCAGAATTTCAACAACACCAAGAAGCATGAATAAGAGTAGTAAAAATGCAAAATAATGAACACATTTCTCCCTTATGGTTTACTCAAGAAATTGCAGAAATCACTACATTAGAGCTCTGGCCAGTGTCACACTGGATCACATCAGAGCAAGACCCTAGAAAATTGTCAATGAGAGAAACAGGTTTTAGGAGAGAAAGAGCATTCAAAATTTTCTCCAATATTCTAACAGAACATGTTTACATGGATCAGGATCTGATCAATTGTTTAAACAAGATAAGGAAAACACCACTAGGTAAACAGAGAGGTTCTTCTCAGAACACAGAATTTAAAGAATTCTCCACCATTCTTTTATCCACAGTTACTTCTGTGACTGCTCATCCTGCACAACTTTTTCCGAGAAAAGTGCTCTCTGTTTACATGACTATGTATGGTCTCTAGCTTACAATGAACAATGATTTATTTAACCTCTGGCAGCCTCTGCCACATCTTGTGCCTGGGGACTGCTGTCCAAAGATAACTTTAGGCAGAAGGCCAGTTTTTAAGGCATGTCTGTAAAGCTGAAACACAAAATAACAACACAGTAATATATGCATCTAGAAGATGAAGCCAATCCAGAGCCACCATAAGAAATTGCAACAGTTTACAAAGACCCCATGCACTGCTTGTAGCCACTGCTTTAAACTAGTGCTGGCTCACAGCAGAGAGGCCATCATAACATGTTTTTGAGCACAGCGATTTTCAAGTACAAGTTCCAAACTATTACAAACTTGAGCAGCATGAGGTACTCCTTGGTGTTCCTGGAGTGGCCTACAAGCAGCAATAAGCAAAACCTGCCAACAAGGTGCATTTGTAAAAGTCTTGAAGAGACAGACAAGGTGTCTGTTTGCCCAATTAGCCACCACTCCCTGGCCAGAGCAGAACAAGCCATTCAGTTTGCAACATAAAGATTAAGGTATATTGGATTGCAAACCAGATGAAAAAAGCAGTCTGATCCTGCTTCTTTCTCACATACTATTGGTGCAGTTCAGGAAACTGCACCAGGACGCTGACTGAATCAAATGCTTTCTGTATTTCAATGCAACATTAACAAGAAATAGGGAGGAATCTAACAAAGCACTGAATGGATTAATGTGACTGCTGTACCAGAACTGCTCTAGTGGATGCCATAGGATATCCAACCTCATTATCAGGTCATACACAAGTCAAAGGTACAAGGTTTGTTTACAGGAAACCAATCAATATTGAAAAGCTGATTTAATAAATTTATGGGGTGAATAGTAATATCCACAATAGAAAAATCAAATGAATGCAGGGCATAATCCACTGTGGATATTGTTGTTTTCTCTTTTCAGGAATGGCACTGGGAATGATACCAGCACATCTCCACTGGAGATGAGGTTAGCCATCATAAGATTGCTTATCCTTCTCGCAGGAGCAACCATAACCAGCATGAACTGGCTGAAATCTGATTCACACATCAACAAGTTCCCACAGGCTGGAGACCTTAACTTCTTTATTTTAATCAATACGGTAACTATAGTACATTCCACACTATATATGTTTCTTCACTGTGGGTAAAATTTGCTGCTAACAGTAATTATAAGGGAAGGTCATGCGGGCACCTTGCTCACTGAAATGCAAAAGGTAAATTGGGATAATGCTTCTTACTGAACAGTATTTCAGTATGGTGTAGTGTGGAGAATAATTGATGCTGTTGAAGAGGCATTCCTGATACATATTATTAACATTTAACAAAACCGTAATAATTAGCTAACCAAAAGTTTCCCTCCAAATACAACTGGAACATAGCATTAACCTGTTTAAAGGCAGAGAAGCAAGAGGTGACCACCCTGTCACTCTGTGGAGCACCTGAACTGACTTCAGACATGGGGGAATTGAGATGGTTCATTCCCTCCCACACCTCCTCAGGCCTGCTCTATGATTTCAGGTATTGCCTCCCCCAGAGGCCCTTTGAATTCTCCCACACCCCAGCAGGCTGTGATCAGCACCTCTCCAGGTCGGACACCACCTGGAGCCCATGAACTTTCATGCCTGCCATAGAGGAAAGACCATTCCCCTACAGGCCTCGAGGAGCCACTCTTGACTGCTGAGAAATGTAAATGGATTTGATGTATTCTACTGAACTCCAGAGGAACTTTCCATAGTAACTTTGTACACAGGTATAGATGTACACACCTCTGTCCCTGTGTGTGAATAATGGCCTAGGTAGTAATTAACAGAGTGAACCTTGCCTTCAAACTCTGCTAGGGCACGGGGTTAAACTATTATAAAATACTAAATTATTAATATTAAAATATGAAATTATTAATCAAATTATTAACGGTATGCTTACCAAAACAAAGGTAGAATGATTGAAAAATTCATATTATTTGAAAGTAGCTGTGCTTGCTTGGCAGAAGTAGCTAGAATTGTTATAGCAAGATGAGTTATATGGCTATATTGCAGAAGTCAAAGATGTATCACAGTGAAACCTGGAACTAACATTATTAATAGTTAGAGTAGACACAAGTGTAATTTAAATATTACTCAAAAGTTAATAGCTGAGCAACCACATTATAACATGGACTCCAGAACTGACTGAAACTATCACAGAAACAGACCTAAGAGGATGTGAAGATGACCACGTGGCAAAAACTTGGTGACAAAAGAGCAAAACAATGAAGGTCAAGAAGGGCCCAGACTCTAATATGGCTATTCATCCACACTATTGTGTGCAGAGTTTAGACTATAATAATTACCCAGGAATTTCTTTGTCTGGGGTTCCCTCTTTTGAGGCACCTAGCTCAAGCTACCAGGTATCAAAATTTACCTGTAGCAATAGACCTATCTGATGGAGACGACAGCCTAGTGTCAAAGATAGTTATATACTGCAGTAAGTTTATCAGAAATGCTTATAATCACTATTAATGGCCTTTTTTAGTTAGTATTCTAGATATATCTACCACAGCACGACAATAAACTATTCAATACCCAGTCTGGTACCTCACATACTGAATTTTAACAGGCAGTAAAGTGATTCACTATGACACACAGTCCAAATGTTTTTCTACCAATACACACGCATATTGTGCCTATTGCTGACCGATCAGGAATGCATCTGTAAAGGCAGAAGCCCTATCCTTCCTCTGTGTTTTTTGTTTGATTGATTGTCTTTTTTCTAGCGACTGAAGGAAACCCGAGCCCCCCCGCCGCTGGGCAGACACAGGTGCGGCGGTGAGAAGCCACGCGGCTGTTCAAGCGCGGCCGATGCCCTCGGGAGGGGCTCTGCCCTCCCGCCGGCCTATGGACAACGCCGGCGCTTCTGAGTTTCTACAGTTCCCGTTCCGCCTCCATCGCAGGGCGAGGGGGAGCCCCGGGTGCTCCGAGCCCGCACGGCCAGCCCCCGGGCAGCGCAATGCCGGGCGAGAGCCGCTGGCGCACGGACATCTCTCGGGTCCCGCCCCGCAGCCCTCACGGCTCCCCGCCGGGCCGGGCGCACCGCGGCCCTTGGCCGGGCTGGCGGCGGCACCGGCACCCGTACCGCCGCGTACCTGCGCCTAGCCGGGCTCCTCCACGAAGCGAGCGGCGCCTTCTCCCTTCGAGCCCCAAGGCGCGGGGGACAGCCGAGCGCCGGCCGCGGGCCCCGCCGGGCGGCTCCGAGCTCCCCCTCGCCGCCCTCTCGCCCGCCCCGCGCCGCTGCGGGGCCGGGCCGGGCGGAGACGCCCGCCCCCCTCGGGCACCGCCCCCGGCGGCGCGGCGGAGGCGGCCGCGGCCTGGGCAGGGGCCGGGGCAGCGGCGCGGCGGGAAATGGCGGCCGGGCCGGGCTGAGCGAGGGGCCGGAGCTGCGCCATGAGGCTGCTGCGCGCCCTTCTGCGCGGCGCTGCCGCGGGCAACATCCCGCAGCAGGTGGACTTCTACTCGCGCTTCTCCCCCTCGCCGCTCTCCATGAAGCAATTTCTGGACTTCGGTGAGTCCCCGGCGAGCCGCCCTCGACCGCTGCCCCTCCTCCCACAGGTGCCTGTGAGGAGCGGGACGGCCGCGACCCCTCACCCCGTCAGCCGCTTATCTGTTAATGCTGTGCTTTCTGGCAGAAAGGGGCTCTGCTTCCTTCTGGGACAAGGGAGCCCGGTTGCCGCATTCCCGGAGACCGCAACTATGGCAAGGTTGAAATTTAGCTGAAAACTCCGGTTTTTGGCACCACCAGGCTAGTCGGGTGTTTTCCTGCAGAGTCCGCAGTGTTGGGGAGAGGATGGGAACAGCTGTGACAACTGGTATTGTTAGAGCAGTGACTCAGACAGGTGAGACTGGTTAAGCCTTTTGCGAAGCAGCGTGCAGCCTTTTAAAGGCACCTTCCAAACACACGAAGCGTTTAGCCTCGGCTGGCACCGAGGGGCCGGAACAGTCATCACTGCTCAGTTACTTGGCCTGTGCCCTACAGAAACATCCTATCCAAATGCTGCTGTTTAGGTGTGTGAGAGAAGGAGCAGCATGTAGCACCGGGAGCCGTCCTGGAGGGTTTGGAATCTAGTCTTCAAAATGAGTAAATCAGTAACAGGATACTCAATCTTACACCCGGTGCCAAAACCACTCCGAATGCTTCCAGACTTGACTGTCAGCTTGGAAACAAAAGGGATCACAGGAATTGTTCTATTCTGCTTCAAAGCAAAGACCACATAGAGAAAGGTTGTGTAACTCACACTGAGGCACCTTTTCAAAGCCTGAGGTTGGAGCCATTCTATAGTACATTCTCTTTCTGTACCCAAGGCACTTTGGCATACATACATGTGTACATGTTATATAGTTAACTAATTAATAGCTTAGTGGCTTTTTATAGTTTTGCAAATAAAACCTAAGTGAGAACTAATCCTAGAACCCCAAACTTTATATAAGCAGGGAGATTTACAAAGATTTTCTCACAATTATCTGCTATCACTTCATCCATCTATTCAATGTTTCCCTTGTGGCAATGAAACGTATCTGACATTTAAAACTCCATATTCCTACAGGAACTCCACCATATGTTCTGTTGCTACTGTAATTTTAAACGAAGCTTGCAATTCAGAGTTTGTTTTGACCTGTATTATTTTACCACTACTGATAAAACACTTACCATAAAATCAATGCTTATTTTCAAGGCACACTTGTGTCAAAAGATAGACTACTTTTTTGCTCTTAGTACCTGAACATAAGGTAAAAATCTTGAAAACTTCTACAGTATTTTTTCCTCTCTTTTCCTTAAGGATATAATCTTTACAGAGAGAAAAAACTAATAACACAAATAAAAAAGACTGCAAGACAGAGACAATATTTCTCTATAAGAGATTGTGTAGCCATTATAATCTGATAGTGTTTTCATTAAGGATTTTTTTTTTTTTTTTGCTCCTTTTGCAAGAGTGAGAACAGTCAAAGAGGAAATAATAAAATCTGGTAAAGCTAACTTAAAAAAATGAAATATTCTGTAAGAAAATTTAGGTCTGGTCTTGGGTTATAAGACCACAGTATTTTCTGTAGGAGTTTTACCCATTCTTTGCCAAGATACAGACTGTTTCTGCACATGGGAAGAGTCATTTGCCTGTTTAATTTGCCTGCTCTATACTGCCTTCCATATTTCACCAAGATTACAAAGATAAGGCCTTCAGATACAAAAACTATTTTGTAAAATGAAATTTCTTAAGTATATGAGGCATTTAAAGATTATATTTACACTTTCATACCTCAAATCTGATTTGTTCTTGTAATTTTACCCAAAAAAAGGGAAAGACTAGTAACAGTCATGCCTGTGCAGTCTGACTAGGGAAAAGAATGAAAGGTTTCTAGGCAGAGGTCATATATAGACAGTGCATAATGCTGGTAAATGCCATTGTGGAGGAATTTCTTGTAAATTATTCACTTTTTTAGTAACTGACATTCTTTTATCAATGTAGTTTATTATGTGTCTGAGTCTGCATGCTTTAAAGTAAACTTCTCTATTTCAATGTGGTGAAGATTTTTCATGTTTAAGGCAGTCCAGACTTCCTTTTTTCTTTCCTCATCCCTTCCTTTAATCTTTTTTTCCAACTTCCCCTTGCCAAATGGAAGGAGTGAACTGAGCAGTAACACAGGAGTTAATTTGTAGGAGATACGTTTTGTGAAACATGAGACCTGAAGTATACACTTCACTGCAGCAGATGGGCAGGTTAGAAGTTCAGATGATGTTTATGTGACAGTCTTTAAGTCTAGAAAGAAGAAGTCTGGCTGAGAATGAAGTACAGCATTTCTTAGTCTCTTCCCCACTCTGCACCCTCTTTTCTCACCTAGGAAAACAAGCTTTGTGGGAGTAAAAGCAGGTCTTGATTTTAATAAAGACATTTAAACATTTAATTGCCACCCCCACAGATGACACTTGTTCTTCCAAAAGGACCGGTCAGTTATGAAAAGAGGCAGTATTTCCACTTCTAGCTTTTAAAAATGTAAAAATTTAACTCTATTAGTATCCTAATGGCTAAGCAGAGTAGCTGTCCTGCTTTCATTTCTTTCTCACTATTCATGTGAATTCATTCACCTGACTTCTGTTCTTTTAAGACTGAATTTAAACTACAACAGATGCAGTTGAAAATGAGATCTCTATTTCTGAATTCATTTTCTCAAAGTATTTGAGAATGAGTTATGATAATTAACTAAGATCAGTGATGAAAAGCAGGGTGTATGGGACTACAATACATTCTCAAGCATCCTTCTCATAAATAGTTTCCTGTGCTGGTTTCACTTCTCTGATGTGCTCAGAATGACAGTGTTTGATCAGTGTTGGTTAGAGTTTGCTGCAAATAAAATGAACAATATACATGGATAGAAGCCATATTTAAATCTGAACAGTAAAGGTCTGTAACCGTTGCATTAGTTTCTGTTTATATATTGAAGATTCTCGTTACTGCAAGAGGAAGGTTTCAGTATGCAATAAATTTTGAAACACAAGTGGGCTGCTGCCATGAAAGAAACACCGGCTTACCAGCCTGGGAGAGTCCGCTTGGAATTCAAGGTATAGGCCTCTAATGCAAGCAACTAAGTTTGTGTAGTTCTCTACCATAGTATTGACTTCATTCTGATGTCATATTGGTCTTAGGATCTGAAAATGCTTGTGAAAAGACTTCATTTATGTTTCTGCGACAAGAGTTGCCTGTGAGATTGGCAAACATAATGAAGGAAATAAGCTTGCTTCCAGACAACCTTCTAAGAACACCTTCAGTTCAGCTGGTGCAGAGCTGGTAAGAACAGTGACATTCCATCCCTTGAAGGGTGACCTGCACATACACAGGTTGGAGGAAATCACTCTTCTACTGAAAGGACATTTTTAAGCTTGTTACATGAACATCACTTATTAATACCAGTGTGATCAGAAACTGAATTTACAGATATGGGAAAAAAGCATCTAGGAGCAATTAGAGAACCCACAAAGAAATTAAAAAAATCATTAAGTATTGCACACACTCAATGTATGAGGAATCAAACTTTTTTTTTTAAACAAAAATCCACCAGAAGAGTGTTTAATAAGGAATTTACCTAACAGTGAAGAAGCTAGTTGAAGAAAATAACAGAAGCAAACTAAGGCACAAAATATTTGCAAAAGATAGGAGAAACCATTTACAAGACAAGTTATTGCAGACTGAGAGTAAAGGTACAGAAAATATGAAGAAAAAGCAATAGAAAGTTCCCAAAGCCAAAACATAAAACAACAGAGAGAACATGAAGGTATTAAAGTAAAAAAGACATTATTTGAAAAGTAAAGTTTGCTTCCAAGTAAGAAACATAGATATAAACTTTTTTAAGATGAAAGCAAAACAAAGAGATTATTTGGTAACTGCTAAAGGCACAAGGATTTCTGTAAAGGCTTTTAAAGTTAAGATATCTGCCAAAATCTGCCAGTAAGTGGGATTGACTAGATGACTGAATATGAAAAGAGCTATCAATGAGGATACCTTAATGAATTCTTACTGAAACACAAATGCTTACATTCTCATGATACTAGATGACACTGATCAAATAGGAAATTAATTCCATTTGGGCAAATGCAAAGTAGAGCACAGGGAAGAACCTCCTCTCCTGTGTGCTTGCTTCCTTACAATGGAAAAAGAAATGTTGATGCTATTGGGAATATTTTTCTGCATATGTCAGTTGATGGCAAGAAGGAAAATAGTATTAGGAACTAAATAACCAATGGGTAGGAATATAATTGTACCACTGTGTTAGCCCATTATTCTCCTGAATTACATGCAGCTCCATCCTGAACAGAAAAGACCAAGAGGGATAATCAGGGGGTTGGAACAATTCTACGTGAGGAGAAACCAAATGGAATTCTTCAGCTTGGAAAATATGTATCTAAGGAAAGGGATGGCAGAAATACTTAAATCACAAATGGAAAGATTTTTCTACTAACAGGAACACACAGGGGCTGCAAATAAGTGATCACCTACTCGGTTTAAAACACAAAGATGATATTTTATGCATTCTAATTAAATTGTGGAATTCATTGCTCTGGAAATTTTGGAAGAAAACTTTATAAATAGATTCAAAGGAATCTAACAAAATTCACAGAGAGACAGGTAGAATGATTTGGAAACACACAACATTGGAAGACCACAAAATGCTAACCAGAGAGATCTGGAGAGGCATATTAGATTGATCTTTATCCTGTTTATTTC